TTTGGGAACAAATGGGGACACCCAACCTCATCTCTCCGTTGACTTAGAGAGCAGATTGGGGACTTGTGGCAATGGGGACACGTTGGCCCCAGTAGTGGCTCCTACCTCTTGCTTATCCGATACTCCACTTTCTGCTGCTTCTCTCCAGAGGCGACCACGGATCTCTGCAGCTGTAGAGGACATGAGGAAGGGACATTGCTGAAGACAGGGCCACCCTCTGGAGGCCCCAAAGCTGAAGCAGGGACCCCACCTTGGGGACTACATTGGGGTAATTATAGCAGCCATTGGCCAAACATCTCTATGGTGTCCCCATGGGGTGATGGAAGCAACACACTGAGTATACAATGTGGTGTCACTGGTAGTGTCAATGACTGTCGTTGGGTGTCACCAACCCACCAAGCCTGGCTGGGAAGGGACACAGTTTGTCCCCAGAACCCTGGGTGGGCTCAATGGCAGCATGGATGGAGCCAAGCCAAACCCACCACTCTACAGGTCAGGGTGGTCCAAGGATGGTCCAAGGGGACACCAATGGGGACGGCATTCCTGTCCCACCCAACTGCTCACCCAGGGCCCTGCCAGTCCCTTAATGGTCTCAGCCTCGGCATCGCTGACGAAGTCGTGGTACAGCACAATGTAGGGCTGGAGCCGCAGCGTTTCCTTCTTGGCAGGCTGCAGCAGGAGGTAGGGGCTGCCGTTGGTCTCGTAGGAGCAGCCAAGGTGTGAGGGCTGCTCCGGGGCCATCTGGGGACAGAAGGGATGGAGAGGACGTGGGGATGGGGCCGGTGATGAGGTGGGGGCTGTGGTACCCTATTGCCAGCCCTACCTGTGCCCCCAGGCCCTGGCACAGCTCCTCGTAGGCGTCTCGGTTCTGCAGCTGGGTGACGTTGGGGCGCTGCAGGGGTCTCCCCACACGGTCCCCATGTGTTGCCAGCAGCTTCTCATACTTGGCCACGTTCGTTGTTACCCTCTGGTTGCTGGGATCTACCAGAGAGAAGGCTTCACCCCAAGCCCATAGAGAGGTGATAGAGGCACTCCCCAACTCCCTGGGACCACATCTGAACCCCACGTACCATAGTGGAGAAACTCCCTGGAGAGAGTCAACGCATGGGAGATGTTTCCAGCCTGGATGGGACAGGGAGCTTATGAGCCCAGGGCTCGGCCCTACAAGTGCTGGGAATGGGGTCAGGCCATGGGGCACTGGGGGCCGTGGTCATACCATGAAGTAGGAGAAAGCCAGGTAGTCCAGCGCATCCTCCAGGCTGCCCCGCTCCTCCTCTGGGTTCCAGCTGCCATAGGAGAGGCGAAAGCGGCTGACGGCCTCTTCCAGCCACGCGATGGAGTGGTAGAAGTCACCTGTGTCATAGGCCACCTGCGAGGCAGTGCAGGCAGTGCTCAGAGCTGCTGCTGGATCAGCCTGGCCTTTTCCCTGTCCCATTCCTTCCCATCATCATCTAAAATTACTTTGTTCCAATCCTTCCCGTCCTCACTGCAGCTAATCCCATCCCATCCCATCCCATCCCACCCCATCCCATCCCACCCCACCCCATCCCACCCCCATTCCCATTCATCTAGTCACATCCAGTCACTTTGTTATCCCTATCCCTATTCTGTTCTGTCCTCACTGTTGTCCCCATTCTGTCCTATTCCTTCTTTCCCTTTCTCATCTCAATCAATATCCCTATTTCACCATCATGTCTTCATCTCATCCCCATTCCATCTCCACCTCCATCCTCATCCCTTATCCTATCCCTGCCCCTAACTCCATCTCATCCCATCTCTATTCCCATCTCCATCCTATCCTATCTCTATATACAGCCTCATCCCAATTTTCATCCCCCTCCCATCTCCATCCCACCCCAATCCCTATCTCAACTATCCCATCCCTGTTCCATCCCTGTCCTCATTTCATGCCATGTCATCCTACCCCATCCCATCCCACCCCCACCCCCATCCCCATCCCCACCCCATCCCATCCCATCTACCTCTTCAACCTCATTTCCATCCCATCTCATCCTATTCCACCCCACCCTTCCCCATCCCATCCCGTTTACATCCTTGTCCCTATCTCCATCTCATCCCAAACCATCCCATCCCACCCTGCCCTACCCCATCCCATGCACTGTGACTCAGTCCTGGCTCTGCAGTGGGGATTCTGCCCTGAAGAAAATCCTCAGTCTCTATCAAAGCATCCTAATTCCCTCTCAGGCACCCACGGGCCCACTTTTCACCCCATACTGGGATTGGGAAACCAAGCACCAAGCTTTGGAACAGCACTGGGATGGGTTGGGCTCCAGGATGGGATCATAGGGCTCCCAGACACCATCAGCTTGGCTTCTCCCCTCCCCGAGCCACGAACCATCACAAATCCCCAGTTTGGATGAGATCCACGGGATGCCTCAGGGCTGATTCAGCAGGGCCACTTCACCTCCAAGAGCAAAGGGAAAAACAGCATTGCTCCATGGCAGCAAAACAAGATGGGATTTGGAACTGGGTGATCTCTAAGAACCCTTCCAACCTGAGCTATTCTATGACACGCTCCACGGGGCTGGGATCGCCCTCACCTTGCCCACGTGGAAGCAGTCATCGGCCGAGAGTGAGACACGCCGACCAGGGCTGTAGAGGGGAGGGCGGTCAGTGCTGGTGGGCTGGAAGAGGCCGTTGGCCATGCCCTTGACGCTGAGCGCGTAGACGTCCTGCAGCCGCATCAGCGCCCGCGCCGCCCCGTCCAGGTCCTCAGCTCCGGGCAGCTCCCTCTGCAACTCCTGGAATCCGATGTGGAGAGCTGGGGAGGAAATGGGGCGACGGAGGGGGGTTTGGCCAGGGCTTCCAACTCAATGATGCTGTGATTGGTGGAGCTTGGAGGCTGCCAGCCTCCGTCAGTCTTCTGTGGTGCTTCCTTGGCACCCCTATCCTCCTCTGTAACCCACTGTCCCCTCCATCCCATCCTTCTCATTGTCCCCTCCATCCCATCCTCCCCATTGTCCCCTCCATCCCATCCTTCCCATTGTCCCCTCCATCCCATCCTTCTCGTTGTCCCCTCCATCCCATCCTCCTCATTGTCCCCTCCATCCCATCCTCCCTATTGTCCCCTCCATCCCATCCTCCCCATTGTCCCCTCCATCCCATCCTTCTCATTGTCCCTTCTATTCCATTCTCCCCGTTGTCCCCTCCATCCCCATCCTTCTCGTTGCCCCTCCATCCCATCCTTCTC